TTAAAATAACCAGTTAAAATTAACTGGTAAATGCTAGCACAAGTATCTGGTATACATTTAATTTGATATTTGATGTGAGTTTGAGTTGTGTCTGGCATGTCTTTGACCCTGTGATATCTCTATGTATAAGATGTTTCCGTCATATAACCTAAAAAAGAAAATTTATTTGGCTTTATCGAAGATCGGCTATTTGATTTAATTATTGCGCAGCTTGGTCAAATGATCTGTGATTATAGACTAGCTGTGGCTTCCATTCAGCGCCTAACGTCTAGCAAAGGCCATAGATATCATCTCGAAAGTCTTAAATTTGACTTCGACGTGAATCCTGCTATGATTTTTCCAAATAGACGCGACCTTTCAATGTTGTCTGGTCAAAAGTTAATATTAAATCTTCTGTAAAATGTCGTTTACAAGCTCACTGGTGGTGCTTTTTCCACTGATAGGACCAATATGTATTAATATATTTGTGACTCCAGATGTAGTACTTTATAGAATACCGTTCCAAATCATCATATTTCTGTTCCAAAACGTTCGCGTGTTTATGTTTTTTACTTGCATTACCAGATTTTGCCCACAAATAGATAATCAATCAACTAGGGACGAGCGTCCTTCCTGTACAATAGTTTAATATTTGTTTTAGTTTTAAAGCATTAAGAAAAAAATAAATCACATAGACTTACCAAAACATTAACCGAATTCACATAAATCCAATGATTGTGATTCGTTATCCAATTTGTTAGAATAATTGAATTTTGATAATTAATAAATTTTTAATGAACAATATATATATATATATATATATATATATATATATATATATATATATATATATATATATATATATATATATATATATATATTTGATCATCATTAATCGCTTAAGCCATGAGGTCCTTGAAGCACCACAGTTGACTTTACAACTAATTCTCTCCACCTGTTATTTGCTGTTCTTTATGAATCTCCAAATCCCATTGTCTGTCAATTCCTTGATATTGTCTTCCCACCTCATTTTCGTTCTTCCTCTTCTTCTATACCCTCGCACTCTGCCTTGCAAGATTGTTTTTGCCAGTCCAAATGATATTGTGACATGACCGTACCACTTTAGTTTATGGGTTTTTTACAGGGGTCACATACATATATACATACATATATATACATACATATATATGTGTGTTGTGTGTTTGTGTGTGTGTGTGTTCGTCTCTATGTGTATACATTCGTATATCAGGAATGACAAGGCGACGGACTGAGCTTCTCATTAACCCATGCACCGATCCGACACAGGCAACGAAAGTTTTGGTAGACCTTTACGCCTAGCTTGTTGAGTATAGTGGTCATTTATCCATTGTAATAGCTGATTTACGATAATGGATGGCCATATTTTGCCCTGATTGTCTCATCTGAACTGAAATAATTGTTTGATTTAAAGAGATGTACTCTTTCTTAAACGAATACATCAAGATTGAACTCAGTCCTCCATTTAGTTCCATGGGGAATCTAACTGCTTGACCAATCTGCTTTAACTTTATGCTTCAATTTATAATAGCGACAAGAACGTCGAATAAAAAATGGGATGGACAGTGTTTTGCTACCTTGTCTGTCATGAGAGTGCTTACTGTTGTCGATCATCACTCGATGGATCTTCTGTGTGAGTGCCGAAACAGATTGCTCAACTGAGCTCGTATCGACTAGATTTAGTTTGAACCAGCTACCGGCATTAATTTGTTTAGGATCATTTTTGTTCAAGAATTCTTGTACTAAATTATCCTGATTCAACGACAAAATATGTTTTTTTTTATTTCAGGTGATATTCAACGTTAGTTTTCAATGGTATTCCTAATCAAGCTATAGAGACTGAGGCAATTTAGCCGATAAAACAACTTAATTTGTTATTGGGAAATCTATTCATAAACTGTTGGTTCGTACAGCAAAATCAAATATAAATTTGATCATTCATAGTTAGATCTTACTTGTGTCAGTCGTTCCAAACATCATAATGTCTCTCTGTAATTTGTGTTGTTGCTGTTTCCCGTCTTGCTGTGGTTGAGTTGTCCAACATTAGCTTCGATTACCCAATACACCACGACTATCTGAAAGAAATACATAATTTGATTTTTCTATATTTTTCTTTACACCACATCTGCTACTTTTGTACTTACCGTAGCTTGCGTTTATGTAGCTCCTGTAGCTATGATATTGGTGAGAGTAACAGGTAGTTTAACAACATCTTCGTTCTGTCTTGCTCGTTTTAGAATGAATGACTTTGTGGCTGCAGTCTAAAACTCTAGAGGAGGTGGATAATCTTGTCATGGTACGTTTATTTCTTTGAAGAAACTTGTTCATGCTTTGAGTGTTCTTTGGTGGAGGACGCTGCTTTTATTTCTTTTTTACGCATTGCAAATCGAAAAATCAAAAAGTTACTTTAACGTTTCTCTGTTGATATTTTTTTTATTTTATTGAAGAAAGTGTCACGTTCACCAACTTGTCCAGTCACACGAAATAATTATGTTTTCTAGTTTTCTATTTCAAAAAGTCTTTGTCGAAAGTACGTTTAGTTTTTCTAGTACGAACATAATATCCTGCATACAAACGCGTGAGTAGGATAACGAATATGACTGATGATGCAATTGACTTGGTTGTTCTTTTCAGTTTCCCAGTTGTCTCGAGCAATTAGTCAAGCATTTCAACTTTGTTTAGGGTCGTGATGAACATACGATGCTATAACGGTACGATTCACTGTAGGCTTGCACATGTGAAAGCATGTCGATGGATTTAAGCATTTAAAATATTCCAATATATGTTTGTTTCAGTTTCGTTTTTAAAGTTTTATTTCACATGCTTTGGGTTCATCTTGTTAGGTCATGACAAAATGAACGTATCGCTTTATAAATTTATTTTGTGACCTTGATTTGTAGATTCAGTGCATTTTGTCAGTTTATTATTGCTGATGGCTTTAACCGCATTGTTTATGAAAAGATTTATTCGATTATCATTTTGAATATCCTGCTTTTGTATCGGTGTTTTGGTTTTGGCGACGCACGAAAAACACATACCAGTAGTTTGTTAAACCAGATGTTACCGAATGCTTCTAAATATTTATGAGTCGTTCAGCTATGCTAGTGATAATGACAAGGATGCTGTGGAATTTATTTAGATCACATCTTGTCGAGGGCATTATTACAAACATGAACTAGTCTTCTTTTATGCACGTATTCGTTTCCAATTTTTCTCAGAAATTTATCCGAGTTTGAATTTGAAAGTTAGACGAGTAAAATTATGAATTGACAGGACTAAATCCTGTTGTTTTTTATCTCGAGAGATCGACTAAAGTATGCTACACACCCTGTTCTGTCTTGGAGTTTCTCTTTTTATAAGTTATCAGCAGCAACAGCGGTAGCAAGTGAAGAAGAAGGAATAGAAGGAGCAGATTTATTAAGTTACATCGTCAAAAGATTGGATATACCTCTGTCCCATTTTGTTTAGCCAGCATCTTGGACAATGGCGTAGATGATAATGACATTGTTTGTCCTTTTGTTGACACCAGTACGTCATTCGTTACTGTTGGTGGATTCATGCGTGTTCTGGATGGAGTGCATATATTTTCACAACTGTTGTGATTTTTGTACTCTGATTCTCCTATGGCTTCTTTGTTTTCAAGTGAATTGATCTTGTTTTTGTTGTAACAGCATAGCAACTAGCTTTGTCTATCTCTTCTTTTCCCTCGCTGTCTTTATTTCTGGTTTTATCCTTCCTCCCGCATGGAGATTTCATCAGAGAATGGAATAATATATTCTCCCTTCAATCCACTAGTCTGAAGATAATTTGTTTCTATGTTCAGGTAATGAATTCTAGCATTTGTGGCCATGTCAATTTTGCACTATGCCTTTATAAAAGAAGGTTGAGTTTGGTAATGAGTGTAAATAATTCCTTGTTGTAATTGACTTAGTCAACGTTAAGCAAATGCTAATAACATGAGCATCTTTACGCGACGGCTTGCATGCAATGTTTAAAACCAATATCTGAATTCGATTTCAGGTTGAACAAAAATAATAACAACCACTAGGAAGTAAATCATTGGCTGACTATATGAATGGGAGTAGATATTCAAAGACATGTCGAAATACATCTTAATAGTTTTCTTTATCTTGCATCGAGGCATCCAATCGAATTTATATTCCAGTGCAGAGTATTTGCTTTAGATCACTATGTACTGGAAGTCGACAAGGTGCTTTGAAGTTCTTTTTCACAAGTAGTCATCTCCATCCCAATACTTTGACCATATTGATGTTCTAGTGAATAGTCCTTGTTGCATAGTTGTGAACACACTTCTTCATAAGATATCGATGTGGAATTATAAGAGTGCACTGTCCTCTAAATCCTTAATCATTCCGTTGACATTTTAACAGAATTATTTGAAGCGCATTAAGAAAGTGATAGCATTGAGATTTATATCCTGCTTGTAGGTTTTCATTGTATAATTCTCTATTGCAGTCATCCTTCTTAAATCACTCATAAGCATATGGCCAGATATTTTTATAATGTCCTAGATGTTCATCAATATCTGACATTCTAAATATTTTGAAAAAGTCATCCTAGTACTTTTTTCTTTTTTCTTATTCATATTTTGTATATTATTTAGTAGTAATAGTAATGTTGCTAGTTTTAATAGTAGTAGTAATAATAGTGGTAGTAGTAGTAGTAGTAGTAGCAGTATTGGTCTTGTTGCTACTTTTAATAGTAGTAGTAGTGGCAGAAGTAGTGTGTGCGTGATTTAGATTTGTATCATAGTTGTAACAATTTTGCAGTCATATCGCTATGATGTCTGCAGTGTGGCAGTTATAGTGATGTCTAGCAGTGGAGCATCATGCCTCAGACATGCAGCATAATGTTCCAAACAGTCACATTATCTTGACACCAGGCTGATCAGTCCTAACACTAGCCTCTTAATACTGAGCGCCAAGCGAGGCTAGTGTTGGTACCATTTTTGTAAGTCTTTGGTATGAATCGGCCGGGGTTCGAACCTGCGGCCTTCCGCATCCGAGGCGGACGCTCTAACCACAAGGCCATC